CTTTGGCTAGGGGTGTGGAGCAGACTACCCTGAATCTGTGATTTTTTTCCTTTTTCCCTTCCCACTCTGGTCCTCTGGTGAGAGGCGAAGAGAGGCTAGGAGAAGGGGAGGGGGAGGCGAGAGGAGGAAAGGAGGAGGGGTGGGGGAGGGGGAGAGGGAGGTGAGAGGAGGGGAGGGGAAAGGGGAGGCAAGGGGGAGGGGAAGGGAAGGAAGGGAAGGGATGACCAAAATTCTTGTGGTTGTCCTGAGATACTTTGAAGAAATATTTCTTGTGTTCTGCTCTGATTTTCTTTCCTGAAAAGTGTTTAACCATACACCCAATGAAAGGACAGTCCTTGAGGTATTTGCAACACTGCTGGAAAGATGGCCCCTCTCTGGACAGTGACCGCAAACACTTGTTTATGTTAGAATCTGCACTATGGTTGTATGAATCCCTTATTTCGTTTAATAGCCAAGTAGAAGATGCAACATTGGGCTAACATGTTGTTTATGCAAAGTGAAGAATTGAAACATTTATCTCATGGAAGGAAATCCATTATTAGAAAACCAAGACAGCATTGAAAGCCTGCTCACCTGGTTGGCTATCTGACTTGTGATTTCTTGAAGTTGATGGTTTTCATCAGCAATAATCTCTGCTTGGCAGGAGAGAGAATGATTGAATTTTGGCAGGTGTGCTTCCTGAGCCAGATACTCCAGGGGCTCGTTCCAGGAGTGCAGCAAGCGGATCACTGCGTTGATAATATCTTTATGCTGTGCCACCAGTTTGAAGCAGTGACATTAAAATAGTTAAGATACAGCTGAGTTAGTTAACATACATATGGATTTTGCTCCTAGAATCCAAAGTAAAATATATCTTTGTAATTTGTCTCTGTAGATAAAAATATTCTGTAGATGTTATAAGTTGAAAAAAAGCAGTTTCAGCTATTGGTCTACACTGTGCTACAGTACAACAGACAAATAAAATGGCTATGGAAATAACCACTTTTTTCTAATGAGAGCTCTAATGGATACCATTTGATTTTGTTTTCCACTTGAAATTCTGTCTGTTTAAAAGAATGTTAACATTTTGTTCTTGACAGGGATTCGAAGAGAGAGATAGTAACAGAAGAAAAATCAGAGCATTTTAAGTGCTTAAGGCTTTGCTGTCATCATAACAGAGGCTGGAGTTGGATCTGTGAGAAATACAACACAGTGTGAAATGGGACATGAACAGCAGGGTGACTTTTGATTAAGACGTAGGAGGAGACAGGGGAGCAAATAAGAGTGAATAATTTGGCATTAGAACAGCAGAAGGAGAAGGAAAAGGAGAATGTTGAAAGCCCAGAAGAGATATTTCAGATCAAATAAGGGTCAGTAATATAATACTGCCATTGCAGGAGTCGCGAGTGACTTACAATAAATACAACTGAATCTGCATTTCTTATGTATGTACATGAACATCCCACTGGGTTTAAACTTCCCCACAGCATAATATATTCAATCCTAGGTAAAAGACATTGGTTAAAATAGCATGACGTTCATGGTTAATTTCTGGTTGCAGTACTGTCTTCATTTAGTGATTGATTTCATGTATAGTTTATCACATAGCACTTCTCCTTTGGCTGCTTACTGTTCCCTCCTTTTCTCTGCAGGTATGACTGCTGCTACCACTGATCAGATAGCCTCGGAGAGCCTAAGGCAGGGAAGAGCCAGTCCCTGCCTCTGCTGTTCTTGTGGAGCAGGGCTAGGGACTCACCTGCATCAGCCTGGCTGCCTCTCCACCAGCTGGAGTGGGGATGATAACAGTGTGACACGTTATTATGGTTGGCATGAAGGATGGGGTGTGAGAAAACCGCTTATTCTGAAAATGTTGAAAATGTTTCAATTAGTTGGAATCTGAAAATTGAAAATATGAATGCATTGTGAAAATATTAACACGTTTGTGGATGCATAATATTTTGTGAAAATTAGAGATATTTAAATATTAAATCTAATTATGAAAGCAACGACCATTTTTCCTGGTGTTTCTATTAGTTTCATAATCTCATTGCTATTACTCACTCATCTGAATTCCACCCCCTTCCCTTGTTTGCCAGGACCCTGTTGTTCCACCCTTTCTGCAAGTCACTATTGGAAATGCAAACCATAAAGTAGTAAAAACTACAATGCTGTAAGTATTTTCAGTAATATTTCTCTAGTTTTTGAGCCAAAACCACCTGGTTTGTGCATCTATATCCACCTATTTAATCTCTTTTTTCTAGGAGTCTGAACTGACCTTCTCTCTTTAAGTGTCCCCTAGAACTCGTGTTTCTTTCCATTTCTTATTAATCCATAAACAGGAATATTGCCATGTGTATCATAAATTCAAGGTACAAAGTCTTTTATCTTGACAAGATAAATATTGAAATATAAAAAACATTTTACAAAATTATAAATAATGGGTTGAGATTAAACCAAAGAGAAGTACAGTGACTAATATTAAGACAAAATTGTAAAATTTTAAAGGTGTGACTCTTATAATTTGGAAGACACGACACAGCCAGATGACAATGGGGAGTGAAAGACACAGGAGTGAATAAAAAGAATTAAATGAATATTTGAGTGTATCACAGACACTGAGCCCTCTTCTACAGGGAGTTCCTCGGTTTTTAGAAGCCCTGATCTCATCTGACATAGAAGAAATAACAGACAGTGTTCACATACTTTGGAACAAAGTGAGAACATGTGTCCTTTTCTGAACCAGCCTTTCTGTTCTAAATATCAGCTCCTATGCTGGAAATCTTGAGAAAGGATTGGAAGTCACTTTAGAAAGTGATCTTTGTCAGATGTCTAAATTGGTAAAAATTAAGTGCATTGAAGGATTTTTAAAAAATATTTAATTCTTTTAGAAATCGAGATTTCATAAAATTTCCCTTTTACTCTTTTTCCAAAATTAATGGTTGACACATTTTTAACATTAATATATGTTACTTGAAATTTGGTAACTGAATTCCTCATATTTACATTGTAGAAGCCACTCATTGGTGTGAATGCTCCTTCTAGGAGGAGATAAAAAGTGAAACACTTGGGGGCCAGGAATTTAGCTCAGTGGTGCAGTATCTGCCTCACAATTGCAACATCCTGAGTTCAATCCCTGGTACCTCAAAAAATAAATAAATAACACACTTACAAAATCCCGAATCAGTAAAGAAGATCTGGCATACATGAGTGAAGACAAGCTGGTTGCCTCAGAATACAAGCTCTGAAGGGTCACCTGGCATTGGGCCCCTTTGATACAGGAAGAATGGGAGGCCACATTCCGGTACAGGACCAGGCTTGACACCAGCAGCAGGAGGAGGGTCCCTGCTTAAACAGAAATACAAGATCAGGGATGATCTACATGGCAAGGTCATCACAAGCCTCCTGCCCAGTGAAGCCTCATGTATCTCCATTGCCTCCAAGGCACGACTTGGTGCTATAAGAGCTCAGATGAGGAAGAACCATCACCTTCCACTGTGTCCCTGTAGGTGAGGTACATTTTCACAGTCTGAGAAGCAGGTGACTCCTGCATTTCATTTTACTCTCAGAAGTACATCTGTATGATGGAACCGCATGGAAATTGAACTAAGACTGATACAAGGTTATTAAAGAATGGTGGTACCTGGGATATTTCTGCAGGTTATCAGAAATCTTAATCTCCAGAATAAAGTGTTTATACATGGGAAGGGGAGGAGGGGGTGAAAGGAGGGCAGGGACAAGGGGAAAAAATGAGAACCAAGAACACCTGTCATGTAAAGGTACAAGATCCCAATAATGAATGTAATTGTACTGTATATCTAAAATCTACCAATAAACTCATTAAAAGAAAAAAAAATCTTAATCTCCAAGAATTTGTAATTTTTTAACTCATTCACAGATATTTGTATCTCAAACAGTGAGAAGAGAACTCAATATTTTATCTGTATGTTTTAGCTTTAGGTTTCATAAGAATAAACACAGGACTGCTTGGTTTTTGATATTGAATATGAGAAGAATTGTGTCATAAAATGCTCTAGATCTGCTAATTCAATAAAATAATTGCATGTACTTACATCATGCTTGCAAAACACTTTAGATATTTTTTCTAAATTTGAGCTTTACAATAACCCTGGAAAATAGGCTCTGCATTTTTAACAATGGTTAAAAATATTAAATCATAAAGCATAAAGCTTAGAACATTTAAATGATTTCCCCCATTGTTATTAGCTGGTGTGGGAGGCCAAACATCCATGCTGTGGTCCTTGTCCTTCACCTTGTCACCTTGTACTCACCTCTGGATTCTCAGTCTGCATGTGTGCAGCAGGGACCACATCTGTGATCATGGGACACAGATTTTGAAGTCATTCTTGAGAAGCACAATACTTTTGAATTTTATTGTAGAACAATAGGAGACCTTGGAAGATACATTGTATCCTCTTCCTTTGTTCTATTAAACTACAACTTTAAAAAAGTCAATAATCAGATCTGAATTCATCAACTTGATGTTTCAGTAGATGGAATGATATGGGTTTCTTAGTAAAAATTTACACACACAAAAGAAAAGAAAAAACAATTTTTTACCAAATAGAAAAGCACCTTTTACCTTAAGTGGCACTACTCTATGATAATTTCTGATATAAAAACGTACAAATCAGCAACTGAGCTGCACAGATCCTTGTTAAATGCAGTTGGAATTCTCCAAGATGAAAGTAGTTAAATCCTCAGTATTTACATCTGAAAAAATTCCTAAAGAGATTACCTTTAATAATTTAAAGTCCCTGAAATTATTTATTATAAAATTTAACTAAATAACCTATTAGTGGCAAAATTAAAATAATGTGATATGGTTTATATTATAAAATATTACTTTTCTAAAATAGTAATGGATTAAAATGCACTTTATATGGATATGCCTTAAACAATTAGGCATAGAAGTGCCATTTGACCCAGCTATTCCCCTGCTGGGTATCTTTCCAAAGGAATTAGAAGAATCATACCACAGTGATATATATGCACCCATGTATATAGCACCACAGTTTGTAAAACTAAAACTTGGGAACAGCTCAAGTGCTCATCAACTGAAGACTGGATAAAGAAGATGAAGTTTTTCTATAAAATGGAGTACTATTCAGCCAGAAAAAATGAGAAACTACAGTCATTTAGAGTTAAATGGATGCATATTGAGATTATATTCAAGTATAAATAAATAAGACATGTAAATACTGAATAGTTTCTCTTGTGTGAAAAACTGAAAGTGCAAATAAGATTTAATTTGTATAATTGATAATATGAAATAGGAAGAAAAATGCTAAAGGAGTAAGGAAAGGGGGGAGGGTAGGGGAAGGGATTTAAAGGATAAGAAAATATATGCAAAAAGGAAAAAGTGGAAACAGGGATGTGTGGAGGGGTGACGGCAGGGCAGGGGAATGGGAAAAAAATGAGAAACAAGACCTGTCATGTAAAGGTACATGATCCCAATGATGAATGTAACTGTACTGTATACTTAAAAAGTACCAATAAACTCAATGAAAAAAAAGTACTTCATGCAAGTTATAGAAAAATAATATTGGGAATGGATAGCCTCTGTATATGTGTAAAGGAAATGTGCATTGTAGACAGACAAACTGATCTAAGAGATTTTGAAACTCAAAAGTGGATAAGTGCTCTTTAACTGAGCATGTTTATCTTCATATTTATCAACATACTATTTTAATCTAAAAATATATATTAAAATATAAAATATTATTTTATATAAAAATAAATTCCTAAAAATATGGAAGTGTTTTGTTGTTTGTATCATACACAATTTTGGGTTATTTATACTTCATTTTTATGCAAAAGTCTCTAAGGAAATAAAGTGATTATTTAACAGTAGCCTGCTTTTCATTTACAAAAGTCATTTGACTTGAAAGAAATAAGAAAGCACTATATGATGCACATTATCCCTGCATTATGAACTCAGAATTGAAAGTTTCACTCAGGTGACTCAAGTTGATCAACTACCAAAAACTGTCAGTTTTTTTTTTATAGAGTTGTGGCAAATTGTACTCATTGGGCTTTGCGTTCCAGAGTGTCTCTGACTCAGCATTATGGGTTTTTGAAGTAAATAATCTCTTAGTTTGGAATCTGTCCTGTGCATTGGAGAATGCTTAGCAAAACTCTATCCTGTACCCATATGACATCAGTTCACCCTCCCTGTGCCTCTATGACCTCCACTAACACAACTCCCAAGTACTGCAGCTATTGCCAGATGACAAAGTAAGAAGACCCACCACTTGATAACCACTGAATGACTCCGTCTTGCACCATGCTATTCCTCTGCAGAGAAGTAACTGGGTACTTCTTCATCTCATAAACCCGAAACCTCTTGTTGTGAGTTAAATTAGGCATTAACACACATAGGAGTGTTAATTAAATAAATAATTCCGTAAACTGCTGCACGTACCTCTCCCCTTGGTGACCATGGTGGTGAACATGACAGGAAGCTCACTTCACCAGAGGACTGGCCGTCCCACCTGAAAGATCAGATGTTAGCTTTGACAACTTCATGAATCAATTTAATCAGGCATACTCCTTCCTTTTCCAGTCTTCTGTTTTTAATCATCAAAATTACCCTCATAATTTCATACAACAAATATTATTTTATGTCTTATATCAAGAAAGATATACAGGTTGAAAATGAATTACTTTGATTAATTAGCCCAAAAGAAAATGAGAGAAATAATGAAAGTGAACTCTGGAAACTTGGGTGGGCTGGAAGATGTATAAAATTATCAGTCATTAGTTTAAGTTTTACTGTTATTTTGCTGCAATTTCTTACATAGATAGCATTATATTCAATCTATGGAATAGTTGCTGGTGTCATTCATCAATAATACAATGTTCCTTTGAAGAATATTAGGTGAATTATGTTTCAAAATGTATGCATAAAATTCTGTGAAATATAAAGATGAAAGTAGAATGTTATAATCTCATACAAAATAATTGGATTTGTAGCATTCTCCTGCAACTGTGAATCCTATTTTGTTCTCTTTAAAATAAAATATCTTTGTGGAATTTGTTAATAATATATTTTCTTTTCTTTCTTATTTTTGCTTTTAAAATATAACTAAAATTTTATTATAATTCCAAGTATACAAATTAAGAAAGAGTGTTAGAGACACCACATACAAATGTATAATTCAGGTTTACATGCAGAAAGGACCATTGCTTCAAGAGAAATTGGAAGTGATGTGAGGATGCCAAAAATAAAAACATTCATATCTAAGATGTGAAGATTATCACCATTGAGGAGAGTGAGTTTGATTTTGAGGATGGAACACAGTAGGTTTTGGGAGCAAGCACACATACCCCAACACATATACTCACAAATATCTAGTAGACAATAGTACACCAAAATTCTAGCCAACTATTTCCATGTTGTCAAGGATAGAGTTTGAGAAACTGAAATTAGCTTATACACAGTTTGCCTTCTCTTTCCCAAGTTACACTGGGTCAGACAACCAGGGTGAAAAAAGTTCATTTTTTTTTTACTTGAAAGTTCTATTCCCTATCTAGAGATATAGTGAGAGTATAATGAATAAAAATGAACATAGAGATGACTTTCTCTAAAAATTATATCCATGCATCAAAAGCAGCTTGCAAATTTGGATTTCACTTTTACTATCTCTGATAATATATAGATGAATGGGATGATTTAAAAACAGTTTCCTCCTGTGGAGGGACTTTCTTATTAACCTATTTTTTTTTTGTACTGGGATCAAACTCAGGACCTTGCACTTATGAGGTAGGTGGCGTAACCTAATTTTTATTGCCACATATGTATTTTAGCAAAAATCTGACCATAAATATTAAGCAAACTAATATCTCTAAAACTCATATTCTAATCTCCTTAGTTTGTGCAGTGATAAATTTTGAATAACTATTAAGTGAGGTGATTCATTGGCTCTGTAAATCTAAAGTCTAGAGTGTGTGGTTGCAAGCAGGTCCCAGCCAGGGCACCACCCAATCACAAGCAGCTTGGTCCAGCCAAAGGCCACCTGGAAAATAGTTACACAGGTGGGCAAGCAACAGCCAGAGGATCAGCCACATACCATTGGTAGGTAAATGCATGGAGACCCAAGCCAGAAACTTTTTTAGACACCAGTGACTCAAGGTCAGAACCTCCAGCCAAAGACTCTCCCAGACAACAGCTACACAGGGGTGCAAGCCCCAGTCAGAGGAATACCCAGAGACAATCCCAAGCATGCACAGGCCCCAGCCAGAAAGCAATCTGGACAACAGGGAGGCACAGGGATCCAGAAGGCCACGATTTTGAACCAAGGAATTGAAGCAGTAGTAAGAGGCAGAGAAAAGGACTCAGTGGCTTGCTGAGAATTGAAGACAGTTTGGCAAGCAAAATGCCACCTTAATAAAGGTGCAGCAGGATACATCTGTTGAAATGAGAAGATGGCAAACAAGTCTCAAAAACAGACTTCTAAATCACCTAAGGCCACAACAAAGGAAAACAAGATGGATCAATCTGATGCTCAAACATCTGGACACCTTAAATACTAAACAAAAGGGGATCTGGGAAAAATGAAAACAGAAATAATTTCTCAGAAAACAACAGAGATTGTGTCCATACTGCAAAACATGATTAAAAACTCTAGAGCAGATACATATTTTAAAAAAGAAAATGAAAGCTGAGGAACATGGTGGAATCCCATCATAGGAAATAAATGGAATCCATAAAACAGATGCAAACATTCAGGAGATAAAATATCCATTGAAAGTTTATACAGCAGAATGACTCAATGTGAGAACAGAATTTCAGATATAGAAGACATGATTGCAGTTAATGATGAGGAAAAGAACATTTTCTTAAAAATGCTAAGGGACCAGAAGAAAGCAGTCCAGCAGCTGCTACACAATGCAAAGAAGAATGACATAAGGCTATTGAAATCAATAAAAAAAAAAACAGGAGAAAGTATAAATGACATTTAAGAAAAAAAACCTGTTCACAAAAGTAATGGCAAAAAACTTCAAAAGCTGGAGAAAAGAACTTGACATAAACATAAGTGAGACATATAGGACTCTAACAGTAATCAAATAAAACTCTACACCTAATCATGTACTAATTATGATTCCAGAAACCCAACAAAAGAACAAAATTCTACAAGCAAATTTAGATAAAAGAAAAAATTACACACAAAGGAAAGTCCAATAAGAATCACAGCAGACTTCTCAACACAAACCCTCAAGGTAAGAAGAGTTTGGAGTGAAGTAAGGGGGTCCAAAAGAAAACAACCTTCAACCCAGATTGATGTACCCTACAAAAGTATCTTTCAAAATTCATGGAGAAATAAAATACTTTCATGACAAAGAGCACCTTAGAAACTTAATGATTATCAAAGCAGCACTCCAAAAAATTAGAAACTGTATCATAAGAAAAGACAATAAGGATCACAACCCCAGGAAACCCAGTGGAATGAATCCATCAGGCACAACAAGAAATTAAATGCAAAGTGTGAGAAAAAAAAAGTCATGACAAGGATAAGTCAAAACATATCAGTTATAACAACCAATGCTAATAGCCTCAATTCACCAATCAAAAGAAATAGACTGGCAGAATGGGTCAAGAAGAAATATCCAACAGTATGCTGCATAGAAGAAACACACTTAATTCAAAAAGAAATTCATAGATTTAAAGCTAAAAGGTGGAAAACAGTACTCCATGTGACAGAAACAAACAAAAAAAATCAGGAGTAGCTATCCTATTTTCAGATTTCAAATGGATTTCAAACCAGCACTGATTAAGAAGAACAAAGAATGCCACTACATTTTTGTAAAGGGAACAATGCAAGAGGAAGAGATGACCATCATAAATATATATACATCATATGCTAATGTACTCAACTCTATAAAACGAATTCTAACTGACATGAAAAATCAAGTAAGCACTAACTAACACAATAGCAGTGGTGGACCTCAATACCCCACTGTCACAAACAGATAGGTCAGCTAGAAAAAAACAAAACAAAACAAAATACTTGAACTCAATCAAAGTCTTTTCTTTTCAGCTTTAATTGAGTTTATTGGTACATTTTAGGGATACAGTACAGTCACATTCATTGTTGGGATCTTGTACCTCTACATGACAAGTCTTGATTCTCATTTTTTTTTTTCCCTTTTTACTCTTCCCCTATCCATCCCACCTTCCCTACACCTTTAGCTCCTTTCTTCCCATTTCTAAATGTCAGTAATATTATTAGAATCTTATGCATTGTTGCAGATTATTTACACCAGGGAAACTATTCAGTATTTACACATGTATAGACCCTTATCTTTCGCCATGCACTAAATTAAAATCCAAATGTATTAAAGATCTAAATATTAAAATAGAACTCTGGAAGACATTGGTATAGGAAAAGACTTTATGAACAAATCCTCAGTAGCATGGGAACTAGCAGATAGAATCAACAACTGGGATCTCATCTTACTAAAAAAAGCTTCTGTACTTCAAAAGAAACCATCAGCAGAACTAAGAGACAATCTACAATGTGGGAAAAAAATTTTACCAGCTGATCCGCAGACAAAGGACTATTATCAAGGATATATACAGAACTCAAAACAATCATTCCCCCCAAATATAAAGACCCGATTCAAAAATGGGCATCCGAAATGAACAGACATTTCTCAGACAAAGAAGGAAAAGCAGCAAGAAAATATTTGAAAAAATGTTCCACATCACTGGTCATTCGAGAGATGCATATGAAAACCACACTGAGATTTCACCTCACCCCACAAAGAATGGCTGCTATCAAGAAATCACACAATAACAAATGTTGGTGGGGTTGTGGGGAGAAAGGAACCCTTCTCCATTTGTAGTGGGAGTGCAGACTAGTGCAACCATTATGTAAATCAATATGGAGATACCTCAAAGAGCTTGGACTGGAGGTTCCATTTGACCCAGCCATCCCTCTGCTGGGTATCTTTCCAAGAGAACTAAAAGAATCATATCACAGAGAAGTATGTGCACCCATGTTTATAGCGGCACAGTTTGTAATAGCTAAATCTTGGAAACAGCCTATTTGCCCATCCGTTGGAAACAGGATAAAGAAGTTGTGGTTTTTCTATAAAATGGAATATTACTCAGCCATAAAGAAGGAGAAAATAGATTCATTCATAGGAAAATGGATACATATTGAAGATATACTCCTAAGTGAAATAAAGTCTTGAACAAATGGGCTTTATAGATATTTACAGTGGGTATTGCAACATCCCAAAAAGCCAGAATACCCATTCTTTTTGGCTCCACATGGATCCGTCTCTAAAATAGACTACATACTTTCTCATAGAACGTGTTTAAGGGAGTGAAAAGGAATTGAAATTACCTCTCACATATTATCAGCGCATAGTCAGATTGAATTCGAGATCAATCAATAGCAAAATAAATCATAAGAGTTTCATAAACAAGGAAATT